TGGGGCCGTCTAGGATATGATCGCAAACTGCAGACTTCCCGGAACTTTGATGCTTCACATCATCTATATGTTCTTTTACGCGGGTTCTAATTGATCTTTTTGTTTGTCCTATATAAGAGAGACCACATTCACAATCAAGCTTGTACACTCCTGCATCTTGTGGAGGAATATGACACTTGACGGATGGTAGGAACTGACTAATCTTCTTCAGCGGCTTGTAGAATGTTCTAATAGAAGCTCGCTTTAAGATGTAGCCAATCTTGTCTGTGACACCTCTGACATATGGTAGTACAGCAGGCAACGCTCCACTGTGGCCGGCTTCACTCGGTCACTGTGACGTAGGCGCGGGACCTGAAGCTTGTTGTGCAAGACCTCAGGACATAGTCAGTTCATTTTGCATAGATCGGACCATAAACAATAATTAAAAAAGCTGAAGGTACTCCGGGTTTAACAATGACATCGGGACGTCAGTCATCTCAGTCCCCCGTGACCATGGGTGCTGGAAAGCGCCCAAAACGTCGTGAATTAAAAATAATAGTAATTAAAAGTAAAATAAACGCGATAAAATCCGTAAAAGTAGTTTTAATCAATGTGTGGTGTTCGCGTAAATATAAGAAATCATTTTGTAATAAAGTTACTAACCATTTCATTCCAATTTCTAACAGATGAGGAAATCTAATAAAAACTTCTTGTTTATAAAAGCAAATAGTTCGCCAGAGGAACTAGAAATTGAGTTATAAAAACTTTCAACTTTCTTAGCCTACGATTTTCATTTATTTTTGTGCGTAGGTACTTAATACTCAGCATGTCCGATACCAATAAAATTAATGAGTAAAGTTCATGAAGTGATTTTTTGCACTAAGGATGTTTTACTTCTTTGAAACCTGTTAAGTAAATGAACTTTTCTTTACTTTATCCTGAAAACTTTGCTAGAGGAGAAAAAATATAACCTTCATTTTCTGTTAGTAACGTCCCTGAAAGTCAAGAAATCTTCTCGTTGGTTAGCCGGAACATCTGATTTTCCAGTCATACAAAGGTGACTGACAAGCACTCTGTCCACAAAATAGAGATGCCTGGTTTTTTATTGCAGTAGGGGTGCATATTCTACCTGATAGTAAGTGAATGCTGTAGCCCATATACACCCATATTAATACTCGATTAAGAATAAAAAGCTTATTCGTTACCATCCCTACGTCTTAAGAATGAGTCCTTCATAATCAGTAAAAAGGATCTGCGGCTCGCAAGATTTGCTATAGGAAAGGCTTAAGATGAAAACTAGTAAAGAGTCACCCACATGGTAAGCAAATGCCCATAGACATCAGCCTTTTTACGTCTAAAGATTAAGTTAGAATACCTCGTTATTAGTAATAAGAGATATCCACTACTCATCATATGAAACACAGCAGCATTATGAGAATCTTTTACAATAAACTAAATAATTACCCTGTATTGGCGGTGTAAGAGTATCCACTTTCCCATAGCATCCCGTGGGTGCCGTAAGAGGCGACAGAGGGAAACAAATCAGGAGTTGGGCAGCAGCGTTTTCCAAATAACGGCTAAAAATAAAAAACTGTGGTTGCCAACCCACTTGCCAAGCGTGGCAACTATGGCAAATATCCCTATGAGGCAATCTACGGGGAAGGCCTCGGTTCATCTGTGGACTTAAATAGTTTGTAACGTTGACGTTTAATTGCTGTTCTACCCGCAGCTCTCACCACACTACCAATAGGACACTAAGTTCGCCTTTGTACAAAAATATTCCATATGCAATAAAGAATTTCCCATCTATTTCAATTTATTATTGTTATTACAGACTAACAGAATAAGACCCGATTTCACCAAACTATTCTTAATCAGCGATTAACAAATGTTCTGTTAAAATTGACGTCGACGACAAAAAGGTTTACGCTCTATAGAGGCATCATAACAAGGCGTTGCTAAATCAAACACCAAGTAGATATTATCAGAACAAAAACGACCGGTTTGACTTGTCATTCTCTCACACTTCACTGTCGTTATTATGCAGGCAAATCAAAATGTCATAGCGCCTATACAAAATGTTCTGTAGACAGTGTGATTCTATGTTGGTCGTCTAAAACGTCATATGTTTTCGGTTTCGCGCTTGTAGATTTTGCTTTGTGGTGATTTTTAATTCTTTCAATTAGTAAGTTTTCTTGTAGATTTTGTTATTTCTAAGGGTTATTTCTAATTGTTTTTTCTAAGGTTGACAAACGAGCACACATTCCACCCGATTTGTCCTCGATTAAGAATCAAAACACAGATGTGTTGTCATCCCTGAGGACGAAGGTGGAATGCCTCGTTTCCAGTCTCCGGATCTCTACACTCACCATACGGAACACAGCAGCATCAAGCTGCTATTTTACGTAGAAATGTGGTCCTTCACCGGTCGCGCCGACCCATTCGTGCTACAACCACAATATAGGTGCAGCATGGCTCTACCACGTAACATTATGCTACTATTTTAGTTTTTCGATGGGATTCTGTGTGAGCGTGTTTTGTTCTAGGTCTATAGTAAGTATAAAATATAAAAAACTAAATGAATCTTTCGCATACAATTCAAACGAACGATTCGATTTTGAAATTTATTCAAACATGTGATCGATTGATTTTCATCCGACTTCAAAAAGAGGAGGAGATTCTCAATTTGATTGTATTTTTTATGCGTGCTACTTTCAGAACTTTTTTCCAGGTGAACTAATTTTGATGATTTGTTTATTTGAAAGCTGGTGCTTGTCATGTAAATTTGATTAAGATCTGACCAGTAGTTTTTAGTTTTCCTTAATAATACGTATTTAATTGACTTTGTCTACAATGATAATGTTCTCAGTTTATTTATATTGAAGTCAGTTGTACAATTTTTTTTTTAATTTTACCTCTTGTTATATTTATTACTACCTCGTAAGACTCTGTAAGCTTTTTTACAGGAAACCTAAATTTAATATTTCATGAAAATGATTGGTTTCGTGCTCTACATTTGCATGGTTTTATTAATAAATAGTACCTAATAAAAGAATATTAATATCTAATTATTCATTTCGTTTTAAAGATCTTTAATTATAAAGTTACCATTTTCGAATACTTCTCGTATATATGTAGTCGCCTGCATCGTCTTGGAATTTTGCATTTAAATTAGTGGCATATGACAGCTTTGAAAGAATCAGTTAAATATTTGTTTTGCTGCCGCCTTAAAACAGAGAAAAAATAAAAGTTTTTGGGGAAGGAACCCTATGAACTCAATCAAGGATAATGGTAAACTCACGTAGAAACTTGCCCTAATTTGTGCAATCGACGTACATTTGAGGGAATTCTGAAACTGATTGCTCCTTGTGAAGAAAATTGGATCCTGTGTTATAATCGGTAACGTTAATCGTAATGGTAAAAGCTAGGGAAAGCAAACTTTACCTCATCAATTTAACTCAAACGCAAAATGAGTCAAACTAGCTAACCTTGCGGTAATTAAACCAAATTGTCCTAGGCAGAGTCAGATATGTCGCCCTCCGTTATTGTTTTATAAAAGTCATTATTAAAAATTAATCTTTGTTATTATTCATGATGTATCCTTGCCTATCCTAAATGCATTTTATAATATAATATTCTCGTTGAAAATTAATTAGGAAAGTAATAGACTAACAGGTGTATCAGATTATTTCTTTTCTATTATGTCCAAAGGCAATATAATCAATGAATTTGTGATGTTGACCACAGCGACATTCGAATAGAACAAGTGGCTGTCAACTAGCAAAGACTGCAAAGATACAAGCTAAGAGTATATAATCACTATGTTTTACATGCAAGACATTCTGGATTTTTAAATATAAAACTAAGTACAGTTAAATAAAAAATTGTGTTAGCAGCTTGTACAACCGAGAAACTTTTTGCGTTACTACACTCAAGATATTAATTACATTACGGGTTTCGGCCTCAGCAGGTATCGAAACACGAACGAAACAGGAAATCCTAAGTGTTTGAAGCTTGCTAAAACAAGTTCAAGAATGCACACCTTTCATTAACTAATAGTATACTATGTTTACTAGTTATTGTAACTGCATTATGTATTATATTTTTAACATTAACGTTCCTAACGTTTTAATAAAATCACACCAGATGTTAGACGGTAATATTTTTTTTACGATAGAAACAACCTTAGTATTTTTTACCCAATAGGTACTCAATATATAATTTTTAATACAAATAGATAAAAATAACATAAACACTCACACCTGTCAACCACAGGGCATTGACTTCCATTTAGTGCGATCCTGACACACTTCTGTCGCCTCCTCTACATATGGCATGCGTAGGCATATATAGAGGAGGCGAGACACATGCTCGTCGCTTAAAGGTACTCTTATTCTGGCCCACCTTCATTATATCACATTAAATTTCGTCTAGGGCTTTCCTTCCCGACTCTTCCGTTCATTTCATCACTCGACGAGGTATAAGTGACATTTGATTCGTCACTCTTCCCTCGTTCATTCTTTCTCCATGACCAAACTACCGAAGCATTCCTTTATTAATCCTGGTTACAACATCATCAGTTATTCAGATTAAGCCCTTACATAGGTCTTACTTACAATTTTAATTTTATATAATAATATGTTTATGTCAAAAAGATTGCATTCACAATTTCAATAAATTATAAAAAAGTTATTAAATTTGAAATAGTATCAATTGAGTAAGAGATTCGTCAAATTACTTTGTGAATCAGAAGTTACGTTTCTTGTAGATCCCCTCGGATCGCGTGCTTACGTAATATGGAAACATGCAACAAAATCACAAGTTTTGCCTTCAATTGTGACATATAAAACACGAAGTCACTGTAGCCTCATCGTCAAATCCCTTCGTGCAACAGGACCGACAACTATACATTTATAGCAAATAAGTTTATAACAAATAAGTGTGTTAATAAGTCCAGTAAAATGGTTTCAAACGCGAAAACTTATTTTAAATTATCATTTTGTTTGGTGTTGCTAATTAGTATGGAATGTCGTGTGATTAAAATTGAAGACGATTCGGATTCATCGGACATAGTCGTGAAGGTTATTATAAAACATGAAAGAAAGGACGGTCAATACAGATCGAAACAGGATATCGAAGCGAAGGAAATAAAACAAAAAGGCATATCACAGCCAACTGAACATAAGATACGGCACAAAAGTTCTGAGGATGCAACTGACATGGACGCCCATCGTGATAAGGATATCGCGAGTTTTCTTGCGCATATTGGAGACTTCGCAACAAACGACTTACCTGATAATTTGTTTGAGGGGTCGGAAAATGAAGAGAGCACCGAATCGTCCAAACCAGAAGCAAATAAACACCCTGTATCGGAATTTGTGCCCGATTTTAGATCCAGGACTGGGATCTTAGTTGGTTCTTGCCCTTCAGGGCATATACGAAGAGGATCACTTTGTTTACCAGCAGACAAGTAAACTTTAAAATTTATTTAGTATAGTAACCAAAAAGACTTATTTGATGTTATTGATATATTATACTAATTGTTGAGTATAAATTTGTTGTTTCATTAATTGAATCACGTTACTTGTAACCGTTTTTAGCAGTTTAAATTTTTTTAATGATTTTGCGTTGTCAGAGCCGTGGTAGCTCACCTCATTCTATATTTCAAAATACGTAAGTCACCCGTAGGTTCCCTGCCCTCACCATTAAAATTATTAATTCCGATTTTAAGCACTGATTTACTGTGTACCTACTTGGTGATGACACCAAACATCATGAGTAAACTTGAGAAATAAAAAAATAAATTTTGAAGACATATGTAGTCCGCTCACATGTATTATATAAGAATCCGTTTGATTGTATATTTATTTATTTTATGTAACTCTTTAGGAAAACATAGAGTAAATTACAATTAATTGGTACATATGTACATACATTTATGCATAAATTAAATATTACACATTTTTGGGTAGAGTCGCATGCTAAGAAAGTTTTTAGCAGGCAACAATTATCTTTTAACTTAACCTAGTGTGAATAAGTTTTATAAATTATGTATCTTCGTTAATATTCAGAATCTCTGCTACCAAAATTCGCTTCAATTTAAAAGTACTATTAAATATATATATCTGCTTCAGTGCTATAACTCACTGAATTAAAAGTGCGAACAAGGTATGCATTTCGGCGATCGTATGAGTACCAACAAAACTTACATTTTTAGCTTACTTCTGGTATAGTGCTACGCGGAACTGCGAGTTTAGAGTGTTAGAAAAGTTCATGCAAATCTACTATAAATATATCTGCGGTAGGAGCACGCTGCAGCTATATTATGGTTGTAGCACGAATGGGCCGGTTCGACTGGTGTAGGACCACGCTCTCACAGTAATCGTAAAATAGCAGCTTAATGCTGCTGTGTTTCGTATGATGAGTGTACCGTGAGTGATAAGAACCGGAGAACCGTTTTACTGAAAACAACGCTTTCCATCTTAGTAGGTACTAAGAGGTGACAAAGCATTTGCATATTGATTATTAATCGAAGATAAATGTAGATATCTATGGGCCAGGGCATCCGCTTACTGGAGACTGGAGTTGGTGGTCTGTATACTCATCACCCCAATTTTATAAAACAATATCTGCAAGTGCGATCAAGGTAGGCATTTCACGATAGTGCGCACGTAACAACGTAACATATAATCTAAGCTACACAACAAGTTTAAATTGTTATTAAAGTTCATGCGAATCTACTGTCCCGTTTGTTATCTTCACAAGTATACTTACTTATAATCTGGATACAGATATGATTTTGGTGTATTAAGAACTATTAGTAAAAACAACAAAACTAGTTTACCCGTGTTGAAATTAAACTTGTAGTTATTTTGTCCACTTAGGCGCCTTAACTTGATAGCTATCAATATCTCAAGAAAGCTTCGCGATGTGATGCATAAATATTTTGTGTATAACTTTTTAAAACAAAACATTATAAAGAGTAATATAAAATGCATCTGTATATGAAACAATATTATAATATCCTCCAGACCGAAATTTGTCACGGCGGCCTGCCTCTACGGAGACTAGTCATCGGCGCAGTACAGGATTATAGTGCCCAAGTGTATGCGCAAGCACAGGTGCACTCTCTATTCCATCAATATCATAGTCCGATGGGACGGTAAACCGACACGATCTGAGAGACTAAAGGTTTTACGAGTACGCCGACTCTAGGCACCTACTGAGAATTTCTTGACGGAAAAACTCCATATATATAATATAAAAATGGTTTGGCTATAACAGGGTATGACCACGCTCTTCCAGAATGGCAGCACAATGCTGCTGTGTTTGAACGGTATATAACCGGAGATATTTTCTGCTAAGGGATCTGTATTTTGATTCTTTACCAACGACTTTTTCAATAACCATCTGATGAACGGTGTGCTCCTTTGTACCTCACCTATAAAAATTTCATGAGGCAGATTAAGCCTTAATTTAATTAAGTTATTAGATATATTTTTAGTTTCAATAATGATAAATGCCTACCTCAGAGATCCAAGAAGGATAAATTAATTTTCACATTATAATAGCTTTTGCATGCGGTGCATAGAAGAATTTAAAGCACTGACTTTAAAAGCTTTTATGTGTAGATTATTCTTTTTCGATCTTGATAGTAGGCTTTTGTTAACTAACTAAGAAATATCCCAAGCTCAACGTAACAAACAACTGAAACGTTTTACTGGTACACCGAAAACTTATTTTTCCATCCTTAAGAGTGGGGTTTAAATATGACCTAACCTATGTTATATATTATACTACCAAGTGAGCCGCGTGCCAACTCGTTTGCCAACTTTAATATATAAAAGAAACACAAACTCATAAGGCATTGTTATAAAAAATAAGTGTTCAAACTACAGTATAATTAAGTAACTAAATGTTGTAGCTTGATTAGGAAGCTAAATGTTGAAACAAATAACGCAAAGCTCCGAAGCCTGGAAAATAAAGTAACATCATCTTTTTCCTCTTACGGTCTTATCGTGAAATAACTTATAAAATTTTCCTTTATATTTGAAGTCGTTATTATCGGCCTACCACGAAGGGTACTAAATGAAAATATACGTGGTAGAAACACTATGTAATGTATTGGTGTAGTGGTGTAAGTTAAATAAATATTAAATAAATAAATCGTTAAAATTACTTTTGTTGTTGTGTAAAAATGTAAACAAATGTAAAAGTAAATAGTTACTTTACTTCTTACATTACTTACATTTGTTGACAAAGCTTTAGTGGATGACACCAGCACTGGTCCAACATACACTTATCATTACATTTTTCTAAGTCAACTTTCACTTGGGTCGGTTCTCCTGGGTTCAACCATTATGATGAACACTTCCGACTATAATAAAGGATCCATTTTTCATCACAAGTAACGATATGATTCAAAATACTCTCGTTATTGTGGCGGTTAAGTAGTGTTTGTTGGTATGTTTCGTTCAATTCATGCGGCACACATTTTTCGAGCTGCTTGTGCACTTTTCCAATTTGTTTCAAGCGAATTAAAATTGTTTTACCACTCACACCAAAGCCTATCGCTAATTTTGACGAGGACTGCGATGGATACGCCTTCACGGTTATTTTTAATTACTTATTGCCAACTAGTGTCTGCAGCCGTCCATGAGGTTTGTTCTGTAGATCAAAATTTTCTATAACTTTTTTTATTTTACAGTAACTTCCCCATACACATCATTTATTTTATCCTTTGAGCTATTTCTGCAGAGCTAGCTGGCGTCATGGTGGAAATTGTACTCGTAAAAAAAAAACTCGATATTTTTAAAGAAAAATTAAACGGCGAAAATAAAATTAATTATTTATTTCAAATTATTTAGGCTTTTGTATTTGTTAACGTCGGAGAGAATATTTCATGAGCCACTTCAATTTGTAAAAGCATGTGAAATGATATGCGTAAGTAAAGCTATTTTTGTTCTAACATATTATATTATGTTACATAATACTCAGATATTCAGATAATTCCTCTTTCTCTAAAACCCTATCTTAATCCACTGCTGGATATAGAGATTTACAAGAACGTATGGTTTATATGTACGCGAACACTGCAGCTTATTGAATGAATCTAGTTTTTACGAAATGTTTATCTCATTTTATATTTCAGACGTTTCGTGTACTTTTCAGCACTCACGCTTAAAATTATTGCCATGTTTAAAAAAAAAGTTTTTTAGAGAAACAGAAACATTTTTATTACGAGCTATGTGCTATTAGACAAATCACAAACTCGGTAAAGAAAGTTAAATTATTTTCTCTCCGAAAGCTTTCTTAATGGCGCTTTCAGCGAAGCAAAGTAGTTTGACGCGTGTTGTTACGATATAGTCCTACGTTTGATGTAGGCGCTGTGCCGCAATACGCAAAGCCCATCACTATTATAGCATCTTGAATGAGGAAATTAATATCTGTAATTCAATTTGCAGAAAAAACGATATGACTCATTTATATTCCATTATATATAATTTCACACCCTCATTATGAATATTATGTAATAAGTAGTGGATATAATTATTTATTAAATCGTCATTTATAAAACGTTAAGGATGTAATAACACTATATCCTTATTTAATATCCACTACCTCAAGTCGTCCATCTGTCGCTGAAAATGGAATCGACCGAGGAAAACTGAAACAGGAAATGGGCCGTAAAATCTTCCTGGTAGCACCTTAACTACAAATAAAATCTTCACTAATGACAAATATCCCTCCTGTGACCCAATCTTTTTATTCGACAGGAGAAAGGCTTTTATTCGACAGAAGAAAGGCTGGAGTACGAAACCTTTACAACAGGTGTAAGACAGGGTGACGTTATATTCCCAAATATCCTGATCTCCCTCCGGTCGTGTCGGTTTATCGTCCCATCGGACTATGAGAGTGAGAGAATAGAGAGTGCATCTATGCTTGCGCATACACTTGGGCACTACAATCCTGTCCTGTACCAATAGCTGGTCTCCACTGGGGCTGGCCGCCGTGACCGACATTTGGTCTGGAGGACATTATTATTATATTCCCGAAACTCTTCACCGCTGCTTTGGAATTTACGTTTTCAAGCTACTAAACTGGAAAGGATGTAGTATAAACATCAATGGCGTTACTCACATTGGATTAGCCGACGATATAGTACTTATAGCAGAATCGATTTTCTTTACTATGACTTTATTTAAGCAATGACCTCAATAGTGACTCCCAGCGGACAGGTGTTAAGATGAACATGGGCAAAACAAAGATTATGTGTAAAGTCCTTGTCACGTCTATGCCGGTAGTTGTTGGGAGCACTAAGCTCGACGTTGCTGACGCGTCTGTTTACCTGGGGTAAGCCAACTTTGACCGTGGGGTCAATCAACGGATTCAACTCGGTTGTGCAGAGTTCTGAAAATACGGCACATCTTCTCGTCAGGTATACCCCAAAACTTTGAAACGAGTTTATACAAAC